CGGGCTCCAGCCTGGGGACTCCGGGCAGGATTCTCAATGGGGGCCATTCTTCTGCATCCCCCCCCCGGCACTGGCTTGTGCCGCCCGGCGAAGGAGCCGCCGCGGGTGCCAGGGCCAGGGTGACAAACTGCCAGGCTGGGAGCAGGATGTGGTGCTGCCCTGGGAGACAGGGGGAGCTGGGAGCTCATCTGCCAGCTCTGCCACTGGGTGCACCAGCAGCCTCTGCCATGTCACCCTGTCCCGGCCTGGAGGTGCCCAGTCCCCTCTAACACACACACCCAAACCCAGGGCTGATTATCCCCCTTGGCTGATGCTATCGCCCCATCAGGGTTCTGAGGGCGGAGTGGAGCTGGTTTAGTTGGATTTCCCTCTTCCTCTCGTGCTGGGACAGGGGATGCCAAAGGGCTGGCAGTGGTTTGGTCCCCTCCCTGCAGCCTCCAGTGGGACGGGGGGCTCAGCCCCGTGGCCCCCATGGCACATGACACCAGTCACGATTCCCAGCTCTCTCGCGCTCACTGGAGCTTTACTAAGCCAACCCCACAGAGACCCCCTGCCATTCCTGGGGGACGCCTCTCCCCCCATCCCAGTCCCCTTTACCCGCAGCCTCTCCGAGCAGCCAAACAAAATTCCTGCTGCTCCCTCCTGGCTGGAGCTGCCTCCCCCTTCCCAGCTGGGAGGCAGATCCATGGTAGGAGATCCACGGCAGTGACCAGCATGTACTGGTGGAGACTAGGATGCCCCGTGGTGTGTCCTCAGATTTCCAGCCCCAGGACACCCCTCCCACTGCCTCCAGGGATCCCAAAGCCCCGGCACCTGGGGCCCCCCGCTCGCCGCCAGCCCTGGCTCTCCTTCAAAGCCATTCCTTCGCTAAGAGGAGTTGGCAAAAGCCACAGGACCAGCTGGAAACCGCCTTTATTCCAGGCGGGAGAAGGGGGACGAAAGCACCCCCCGCCACCTCCGCCCTTCCCACAAACGCTGCCAGGGATATTGGGGGGAGCCTAAAAATACTCCCCTGGCTTTAATCTCGGGGAACCTCCCCGAGTCCCATCGGAGCTGGCTGCAGCACAGGAACTCGACAGCGGATGAAGATGTGGGGCTGATGCTCTGGGGGGATGCCCTGGCCCCTGGGAAGGGAGTGTCTACCCTGGATCCAGGGGAAAAAGAAGGATGCCCTGGTCCCAGGAGGGGCAGAGGGGAATGCCCAGATCATCGGACTGGGGGATGCTCTGGCCCCAGGGATGCAGGGGGATGCCCGGGCCTGGGGAGATGGGGGGATATCCCAGCCCCGGGAGGCACGTGGAGCTTTAAAGGAGGCTTTAAAAAAAGCCTGTTGCCCATTTCTACAGGCTTTGCCCCCCCCCTCCCCCCAAAAAAAAAAAAAACACACGCTGGGGCAGCTGGCTAATGCAAACAACTTCCCTACCCGAGGGTCCCAAAGCACCTGCCTTAGGGTGTCGGGGTGAAGGGGAGGAACCCCAAAAAAACAGAAACCCGAGGGAGGCGCAAGCATCAAGGGATCAGCACCTACGGGTGCGGGGGGGGTGTTCCCAGGTGGGGTGCGCAGCCCGACCACCCCCTCGAACCCCTTTGGCCCCGCTCACCTCCTCCAGAGCCCCCACCGCCCCCCGGCACTTCTGCATCTTGGAGGCGAAGGTGGCGGCCGGGGAGCTCAGATCCTCGCCGGTCACGGCCAAGAACTCGGCCACGCTGAGCTGCTCGGGCATGGTGCGGGGGGATACCGGGCGGGGGGGACACCGGGGAGGGGGCACCGGGGCTTGGGGGGGCACGGGGAGCGCGCGGGGGGCTCCCCCTGCGGAGCGCTCCCCCTGCGGAGCGCCCCGGGGGTGCGGGCTCAGCCCGGCTCAGCGCCCCGCGCCCCGCACCGGGAGCCCCGCGCGCCGCACCGGGAGCTGCTCCTTCCCTCCCTCCCTCCGTCCCCTCCGCCCGCTCCCGCCCCGCCGCCGTCACGAGGCGGCCCCGCCCGCCCGCCCGTTAAAGGCGAAGAGCCCCCGGGATCCCAAATAACCCCCCCAGGCGACCCCCGCGCCGGGGGATGGGGGATGCGGGGTCTCCCGGTGCGGTGTGGGGAGGAACGGGAAACCCCGGGATCTGGCTGGATCTGCACCTCCAGTCTCGCCACGGCACGGCTGGGTGCTTTCCCAGGCAGGCAGCACTCACATCACCCCGACATCCACCTTTCCCAGGCACCCAGGACCCGCTCACCCCAACACTCACCTTTCCCAGGCACCCCTCAGCCACCTCACCCCGGCTCGGCAGGAGATGGAGACGCAGTAAAGGATGGCTTGGGATTAAACCCAGTCCCCCCCGGGCACTGGTTTAACTGGAGGCTGCCCCCATCCTGCCCTTCCTGAGACCCTGAGGGGACAATCCTTGAGCAGGGGACAATTCCCAAAGCCCTCGGTCCTTTGTCTCGCTGGAGGGGACCTCTGAGCCCACTGTCCTCTCACTTATCCCACCCCTCACAGGCCCAAGGAGCTGGATTTTGATGTCCCATTCCTGGTTATTTGCTCTTCCCGGAGGAACACGCGGGACACGCCGGGAGAGGCGCTGAGGCTGAACAGACACCGAGCACATCCCACCGCGGGGCTGGTGACAAACTGGAACAGAAGGGGACAAAAAGCCTCAGTGGGGCTGGTTTGCCATGGGACAGGTCAATAGGGGGTGAGTGTGCTTTGCAGACCCCTCCACGCCCCTCGCACCAAGCACCCCTCACCCCTTGTCAGAGGTTGACAAACCCTCGACCCCTTTACTGAGCCAGGGGTGGGGCTCAGTAAAGCTCAGGTCTGTGCCTAATCAGGTCCAGCCCAAGCCCTGTTCTATCTCGGCGTAACTGGGGTGCTGGGAGGGACCAGGGTGTAGGAAGAGCCATCACAGGCCTTGGATGAATGGCTGTGAACATTCCATCCCTCAGGCACCGGCAAGCCCACGGTTTGGGGGTGCCCGCCCTAATTTGGAGGGGACCGGGCATCTGCCGAGCTCCCGGGACATCCCTGAGCAGAGCAGGGCTCTGGCAGACACAAGGTTAAGAGGCTGCAGCCCAGGCAGGACGGAAGCAGGAGGGATTTGGGGGTTCCCCATGGGTAAGAGCCTCCCTCAACCTTCTCTTCCCCCCGGTGCGCCGCGGGGTCCCTCCGGGCGCGGGGCCGGGGCGGTCCCTTGGCTGGGGTGGCCCTGCCACCTCCTGGCCGGCCCGGGGACTGCGGGGGGGCCACACGACCCGGGGACATCCCCCGAGCTCCTGCGGGACACGCAGCCCCACGGGGATGGGGACATGGGGACAGGGTCGTGCCTACAGCACTCTGTGCCCCTCGCCTGGCTTACCTGGCCCGGGGCTCTCCTCCTCCTCTTTCTTCCTCCTCCTCTTCCTCCACCTCACCAGATGACCTATGTGCCACAAGCTCAGGTACCACTGGACATCACCAGGTACCACTGGAGATCAAGTACCAGCAACAGTCACCAGTCACTACTGGGCATCACTGGGGACCACTGATCATCACCAGGTACCACTGGGCATCACTGGGGACCACCAGACATCAGGTACCACTATGCCCTGGTACCACTGATCACTGTGACACCAGCACTGTTGGCATCCCCAGGACAGGCAGCAGGTGAGGGAAGGATCCTCCACGGGCACAGCTCCCCCAGGATTTTGCTCTGCAGCCCCCAGACCTGCCCTGAAATCAGGGTGCATAAGCCCATCCAGCCCCAGTATCCATAGGGACCCGACCCCCATCCCTGGGGCTTCTCCCATGCTCCTGGTTTAGGGGGTGAAAGCTCAGGCGAAAGCTCATCCCAGGTGGATTTGGGCTGGAAATCACCGATTGGAGCAGGTCAGACTTGTTTTCATGGCTTCATCTCAACCTCCTTCTCCACCGTGCCTTCAGAGCAGGCTGGCCAGTTAAAAAGCCCCCAAACAGGCTTTTTTGTGCTTGAAAACAGGAACAAAAACAGCCCAACACCTCCCTCCTCCCAAATGACTCCAGCATTTTGCTGCTTAGAGGAAAACAGCCCCTTCTAAACACCAAAATTTCATTTTATTTCAACCCCTCCCGGGCAGAAAACATCAAGTGCCACAAGTTTTTCCAAGCCAAAACACACTCTCACCCACAGCACCTCCAAGCCAAACTGCAGGAGCACCAACAACCCAAGGAAGGACAACTTAAATACACCCACTGACAATCCCAAATCCCCCCCGACCCCACCAGCCCCACGCCAAAGGGAGGGCCCAGATAAATACAGTGCAATAATTATGGATATTTTGCAATTAAAAGCCCTGTGTCCAAGGGCTCGTCCTATGCTGCTTCCCAAGCCCCTCTGCAGGCCATCACCTCCTCCCAGTACACTCCAGTTTCAATACTCCCAGCACCAGTAGCTCCAAGAGGCTGGGGAGCTTGTAAGGACTGGGGGAGAGGGGCTGCAGCCCCCCCAGGGAAAATGGCTCCGTGTCCTGGCCAGAGATCTGCTGGAGCCTTGTAAGCTTCATCCTCTCATCACCCAAAGGTCACTTCAGCTTTGCTGCCTGGATGGTTTTTTTAAGGATATTCCAGCCGTGGTGGGGGGAAACGCCGCTGGACACGACCTGCCATGACCCTGAAGAACCAGTTTAACTGGGGAGCAACTGGGGAACATGACACAGCCCACTCTGGGCAGGGATTTCTCTACCCCCCCCAGGGGTGCCCCAAAGCCACCTGGGGCACCCAGAAGCACCCCCAGTCCACCAGCACCTCCAGGGTAGTGGGGGGGTTATGGTGGGGAGCATCAGCACTGGCACCCCACAGGTTTTTGGGAGGACGCTGGGATGAGACCTGGATGGATCTCTGGGACAAACACAGCCCCAGGTGATAACCAGCCCAGGAGAGTGAGGAGAGTCCACACAGGGTGGGCAACACAAGCCCCCCACCAGCACCCTCAGAAAACCCAGCGCTCCCCAACATCCCCCACTCTCCCCAGCCACCCCGCAGAGACCCCACGTGCTCAGGACACAAGTGACCAGTGGGGTCAAAGGCAGTGGAGCCCGGGGGGGACACTCAGGGCTTCAGCAGGTCCCCCAGGTCATAGGCCTCAAAGAGGTCAGTGACACCCTCGCCCTCGAGCCCCCAGAGATAATCGTCCTGTTCCAGGGGGGGCGAGAAGGCAATGAAGGGTCCAAAGTCCAGCTGGGAGGGGGTGCAGGGCAGTTGGTCCTCTGTCTGCTGCAGGAGGTGGGCAGGAGAGCCCAGGAGCCCAGGCTCCACCTCCAGCAGCGAGCTGGGCCCCCCCGGGATGGTGAGAGGCAGAGATGAGGGTGAGGAGGGGGTTCCTGTGCCCCCCCAGCCCTGGGGGGTGGCGTGGGGCAGCTGTGGGGCTGGTCTGGAGCTGTTTGGTGGGGAAAGGGGGATGGCGTGGTCCCGTGGGGAGGTGGCAGCGTAGGGGCCGGGGTGGTCCTTGGTGGGGCTCTCCTCCGTGATCTCCGGGCAGAGGTACACCTCGATGGGGCCGTTGGTGCTCTTCAGGTGGAGCTGGAAGTTGTCCTGGAGGGGCAGAGCAAGGCTCAGGGGGGCCAGCCAGAAGGTCTCCCATATCCCACCCCACAGCCCCCAACCCACGAGGGGCCTTCACAGGGCATTGCAACCCCTAAAGGACCAGCTCAGGGTCAAACAGCCCCATGGAGACACCGCAAAACCACCCAGGCTCAGGCTGGGCTGGTTCCCCAGAGGAACCCACCGAGGATGGCGCGGATCCAGCAGCACCCACACCCCAGCCCCACGCACACACACCTCGCTGAAGTCTGGCACCTCCAGCTGCGTCTCTGGGGGAGCCTTCACAGCGATCACTGTCTGCTCCTGGAAGCTGCTGATGGCACGGAGGTCCTGGTAGGTGACATATGCCAGCGTGGACAGGCACGAGGTATAGGAAAAAGAGGGGCTGCAAGCAGGACATCGACCCCCCCCCATCCCTCCAAACATTCCCGCCAATCCCAGGGGAATCCAACTGGAGAAGAGGCTCAGAAGGTTCCCCAAGACCCTGCCCTCCCTCCCTCCCGTCTCCCCCAGCAAGGATATCTCTGGTTGGCCTCATCTTCCACCAGCTGCCGGAGCTGCAGGGCACAGTCCTGCACAAGCTGCTCCAGCGTCCTCTCCGTCCTGGCCAGCTCAGCCAGCTCCCCCCTGAGCACCTGCTGCCTCGCCGTCACCGCCGCGTCCTCGAAGATCCCCGTCCCCCTGCCAGCGGGGATGGCACCTCAGTGACACCACAGCACACCCTGCACGTCCCTCGAGCCACCCGCCCCGCCCCATCCCCGCGGCCTGTCTCCAGCCCCACCCTCCTTCCCAGCATCGCCTACATCCACTGGATGTGGTTCTTGGACTTCTTGCGGATGAGCTGGATGCCCTCCAGCACGTTGGTGATGTCGTAGATGCGGCGCTTCTGGACCTCCAGCACCTCGGCCGCCCGGTTCAGGTCCACGACGCCGTCGGGGGACTCGTTCAGCAGGCGGATGAATTTTTTGGTGAGCAGCCCCAGGGAGGTGTCGTAGCGGGTCTTCTCCCCAGGAGACTTGGGGGCTGTGGGGGAAACGGGAGACAACCCCCCCCCGGTCCTCTCCTTAGTTTGGGATGTGGGATGGAGGTGACACAGGGCTGGATGTGAGAGACCTTCCCATCCTCTCCTTAGTGTGGAATATGGGACGCAGGTGACACGGGGCTGGACACAAGACACTCTCCCTTGTCCTCGCCTCAGTGTGGGATAGAGGTGACACAGCACTGGACAAAAGACCCCTGTCCTCTCCTCAGTGTGGGAGGGAGGTGACATTGGGTGGTGCTAGAGGGGACATGGTTGAAGAGGGGAGAGAAGTGGGGTGTGTTCCTCTCCCAGCTCACCCCCGTCCCGCCTCACCCAGCACCACTTACTCCTGGGGCTGGGGACCTGCGCCAGCGTCCGGCCCTTCCCCTTGGGCGTGCGAAATTCGGGGCCCTCCAGGTCCAGCTTCCTCTTGGCCTGGAGCAGGAGAGAAAACTCAGCATTGGGGCTGAGCCACACACCCCTGTGAGCCCCCCAGAGCCCCCCCCCGGGGTCATCAACAGAGCCCCGGGTGCCACATCCTGTGGTGGGAGTTGTCTTCAAAAGGCTCCTCCCGTTCCAAATCCCTTTTGGGAAGGGGCACAGCAGCACCCAGCAGCACAATGGGCCACTGGGAGGAGATGGGGGGGGTCCCATTCATCCCCCATGGCTTCCTGCCCACCCCAGAGCTCCCCAGGAACCCACTGGGATTTCCCCTCACCCCCAGCTCCTGGCAGGGCTCCACGGGGCTGAGCCCTGGGAGTGCAGAGGCTCTGGAGCCGGATCCTCCCCCTCCCACCCTGCCAGCTGGGTTTCACCCCCCCCTCCTCCCGCCCCGGTGGCGGCTGAGGCAGCCGAGGACACCCAGCTGCCACCAGCCCCCCCGGGACCAGCCAAGCTCAGCCCCCCCGGGACCTGCAGGTGCCCCAGGCACGTGCACCCAGCTGGAGGGAAACTGGGGCAAGCTGGGGGGGGGCACTGGGTCCTGGGAGGGGGGGGACACACACATCCCCACCCACGTGTCCTCTTGCCAGGGCAAACAGCTCCTTGAAATCGCCCCCGAGGGGCCCCCCAGCAGCACTTGGGGAGAAGGGAAAAAGGGGGAGTGCAGCAGAGCAGACACAGAGGGGAGCTGGGGGTGGTGTCACTCAACCACTCCCAACGCAAACAAATCCCCCAGGATACCCCCCCACCCCCAAATGTGCACAGGGGGATTTTGGGGGACACTTTGGCTCAGCAGCAGAAAGCAGCCCCCCAGCCCCATCTCCCCCCCCCCCCCCCGTACCTGCTCCCAGTCTGGGTTGTCCCACAGAGTCCCCCCAGTCCCATCCCATCCCCCCCAGTACCTGCTCCCAGGCCGGGCTGCCCCACAGGGTCCCCCCCAGCACGTCCCTCATGGCTCCCAGGTCCCAGTGCCGGCTCGGTGCCGCTCCGACGGCGGCTCCCCGGGGAGCACACCCCACTTTGTGGGGAAGGGTTGGGCACCTCGGCGTGTTCCCCCCCGAGGGGGCCGGCGGGAGAGGCGCCCGGGGGCTGTTTTCCGCCCCCCCCCCCCAGGGAGCCAGGCAGGTCCCGAGCTCCTGTGGGAATCTGTTCCCTCCCACCCTTCCCCGAGCAGGTTTTTCCCAGCCAACACGCCTCCATCCCCTGCCCCCGGATCTGCCCCGGAGCCTCCGGCACCCCAACGGTTAATGCCGAGTGCATGGGAAACACCTGCCCCGGATCAGACCCCATCCATCTGCCAGCACGGGGGGAGGCATCACCCTGACCCCCCCCTTCTGCTGGCACCCCTTTGCTCCTCCAGCACCCACGGCCAACGTGTGCTCCCATCGCTGTAGGGAAGGGCTCAGCTGCACCCCACCTGCCCCAGGCGTGGGGAAACCGAGGCAGGGAGCACCCCATGGCAGGTCCTGCTGTTCCCAGACACCTCCAACCTCCCCCTCCCCTTGTGCAGGAAGGGAGCAAGAGGGACCCCTGCGCCCCCATGTGCAGTTTGAGGGGGTGGGGGCGGCAGGGGCAGGACCCTGAGTGTCCTAGCGAGGGACAATGGACAAGGGGGTCCCTCCTGTGCCCCAGCTGCCACCCCCCCTGAGCCAGGCAGGATTAGGCACACGACAGCTGAGCGGGGCACAGCGAGGGGCTCCCAGCACCCTGCCAGCACTGGGGGGGGTGGGATGAACCAGAGCAGGTGGGGGGGGCAGGGACCAAACCCAAAGACCCCCCCAGGGCACAAAAGGGCCCCCACTACACCATTTGCCAGCCCCCAGTGTGACATCCTGGGATGTGGGGACACCCTGATGGGATGGTGGGGTGGGAAATGACGCTCGACCACAAAATTTGTGGGGGGGGGTTGTAAAGAAGCATGGGGGGGGCAGGCTGGGCCCCCTGCCAGCTCTGCCTGCCAAGCAGCCCTCGGCCCAGCCCTGGCGCCAGGGGCTACACCCTGCACCCAGCCCAAGCATCAGAGCATCCCTCAGCCCCGGGGGGGCCACAGGGGCTCCTCCTGCCAACCCTCCCTTTCAACAGAGCTCACTGCCCTCCCTGGGCTTGCCCGGGCCCTGCCCGGCCCTTTATGGGGCTCCCCCCTCCCTGTCCCCTCCCCTTTTCCAGCCCCGCCGCCCCCACGGGGGCGTGGGAACGCAGCACCTGGGAATGGGCACCCGGAGCTGCCGGGGGGCCACGGGGCACCCCGGGATCGGGATGCTGCTCATGGCACGGGATTGCTGCATCAGAACCCCCCCTCAGGCACAGCTCCCACTGCCTTGGGGTGGCTCAGGGCTAGTGGGGCACAAGGGGGGCACAGGGGTATGCGGAACTCCCCCATTTGGAAGAGGGAGGGGTGGGAGGTTGATCCCAGGCTTGGGAGACATGGGGACCACCCTGCGCTGGGGGGGAGGGCAGTAACCCCCACCCCAGGTACTGCTCCCCACTCCAGGGTGCAGCCAGCATCTCCATCCCCTCCCTCAGCCCCTTCCCAGGAGACATTCCCCAGCTGGAGGCTGTAAAAGACAGTTCCCCAAAAGGTCCTCTGAAGGCAACAGCCACAGTCACCACCTCCCCACCCATCCCCACCCCCAAAAAATCCCCCCTCCTGCCCATGCAGAAAAACCCCTTGATGGGGTCAAGGTGAGGCAGGATCACCCTGTGTCACCCCTGTGGAATCCAGGGGTGCTGCTGAGCAGGTTCTCCCGCCAACCCAGCACCCACAGGGGCTGCCACCCTCGGCTGCTCTTTGCACGGGTGGCTCAGCCCTGCCAGGTCATACCGAAACCGTGGTGGACTCTGGACACCCTTGTCCTGGCACAGAGCAGGCAGGGAGAGCCGGGACACCACAGCACAGACACCCCTCCCTCTGGTACTTCTGGACAGCCCTGAGCCCCTACAGAGGTCCCACAGCCCCTATAGAGACCCCAAACGCTCAGGATAGCATTGGCACGGACTAAAAACGCTCCAAAATACCCATTTGCCATGGAGGGAAATGCATTTACCTACTCCAGAACCCTCAAATCAGAGAGTATATGAAATTTTAGGACTTTTTTTGGACCACGAGAGACAACCCATCCTGCTTTCCCTGGGTGATGGGCTCCTCCAGGTGACCCCAGATCATTCCTGCGGCACAAAGCCGGTGCCGGGTGGGAGCGGCCGCGATTGCCCTGCTCAGGAATTGGGAGGAAACGCTCATTATCTGATTGCCTCGGCTCTGCACACAAAGGTTGTGCCATAAACAGGGTGTGTGGGGCAGGAGCCCCAGCTGTCAGGGCTGCAAGTGCCGCCCCGGCACTGAAAATGGGATCTCCAGTGCCGAGAATGGGATAATGGCAGAAGGGAACGGGATGGGGACAGAGGGGAACGCCACTTGCAAGACACCAAGGGGGATGTAGGAGCACTGTCGTGTCCCCAAGGGTCAAATAAGCTCCCTCAGACCCTGTTCATGGAACAGTTGTGGGCAGGAACACCCTGAGCATCTCCTGGTGTGGGTGGTGACGATGATGGTGATGACAAAGAGGCCACTAGCCCAAAACCTCTTGATGCCAACTGTCACTTGAGGACAAGCATTTCATGTCCCTGATTATCACACAAGCCCCCTAGACCCCATTCAGGGGACAGCCCCAGACAGGAGGACCCTGAGCATCTCCTGGGTGATGATCATCATCATCATCATCATGACAAAGGGGACGTTGGCCCAAAACCAGCTCCACAGCGACAGGACTGGGATTTTGTGGGGTGATTTTAGGGGAGGGGTCAGCACCGATATTGTCTCCTTAAACAACAGCCCCTGGCAGTGCAGGATGTGGCATCTCACACAGTTTGGAGACAAAGAGGCCAGAGAGGAGACAGGTGGTCCTAAAGCCCCCCTGGATGGGGCTCCAAACGGCCCCATCCAGCCCCACAGCCATGGCACAAAGGGGGGAGCAAAGACACCCCCTCTCCCCCCGCTGTGGCCATGTCCCCAGCTGGCACCGATCATCAGGGATTGGGGAAAAGGGGGAGGGGGGAATAAATAAATAAATCAAGCCTTGAAAAAACTAAATGGGTGTTAGCGGGGTCTGGGATCCCTCCCAGGGCCCGGGGAGAACAGAGGCTCACAGTGAGGGCTGGACCTGCGCCCGGGCTGGGGCGGGCAGGAATTAAATGCCAGCTGCCAGCGGGGCCGACGGGGCCGGGGGGCTCTGTGGGGGCCCTCCGGGAGGAGGGACAGGCTGGGCAGAGCCACCCGTGCACCCAAAAACCGGGCATGGGGCCAGCGCCCGACCCGTGCCTCAGTTTCCCTGTTTTAGGGGTGTTGGGCTTTGCAAGCCAACAGCCGTGACTCCCTTGGGGACTTGGTGACAGGGACACGGGACAGCGACCCCCCTACACGGCTCCCAGCAACGGGGTCCCTGTGAAAGCCTTGGGGGGACCCACGGAGGATGGGACCCCCCCCAAAAAAGCAGTCATTGCAAGCCCTGCTGAAGGCACGGGCAGGAACCAAGGATGGGCAGCGATGCTGAACCAGCCCTGCCCCGTGTCCCCCGCCCCGGGGGTCACAGCCCCGAAGGGGGGAGAGCCAGAGGGCAGGGCCGGTGCCCCCCACCCACAGCAGGCAGGGGCTCTGCCGGCACCCATCGCTCGCTTCCCCACCGCGGGAAGGGGTTCGCGGAGGGGCTGGGAATCCTGGGTGGGTTTTGAGGCACAACCCGGACTTTTCGCAAGCTGGAGAAAAGGAAAAAGGGCCGAAAAAGGCCGAAAAGCGGAAGCCGGAGCCGCGGACACGCAGGGGCGAGGGGAAGTTGGGAAACATCTGAGCCATTTCACTGCGACTCCTGATTTCAGACCTCACCCTCTCCCACTCCAGAAAGACACCCTGGGGGGCGCGGACCCCCAGTATCACCTGCAAAATTTGGAAGGGAGGGTGCTGCACGCGCTGGGGTCACCCACCCCTCGCTCCCCACCCTGCTCGACCCCCAGCCCCCCGTGCCCCCGCAGCGATGCCCGGGGAGGGGAGGGGGTGCAGACACCTTACCGGCAGCCGTCCCGCCGAGGCTGAGCCGAGGGTCCTGAGCTCGGGGCCCTGGGGGGTGTCATAGAAACACCCCCTGCGGGCAGCGGGGCCGCTGACAGCCGCCGGCGTGTAGACCTGGGTGAAGCAGCCGCTGGATAACGGGGGGCTGCTCATGCTGGAAGCCCCCCGCTCGCAGGAGCCCATCACCGACATGACCTTCTTCGGGTGGTGGTGGGGAGCGGGGGCCGGGAGGGCGGTGCCCCCCCTCCCCGGGGCGGGGGACACTCCCCTGGGGAGCCGCAGCATTGCAAAGTCCTTTCCGAGAAGCCCGGCCCGGGGGAGGGGGCAGGAGCACCCCGCGGTTCCGCACCGGGGAGAGGGGTCACAGTCTCAGCCGTGGCATTTTGGGGGAGCGGGGAGGGGGCCCGGCGGGCGATGCCATCGGCCATTCCCCCAAAACCCCCCGAAAAACCTGCAGAGAAGCAACGCGGCGGGGATGCCGCCAAAACGGGCGGAAAAAAAGCGCTTTTGGCCCCAAAAATCGGCCGCGTTGGGGGCCGGATGGGGCCGGGGCGCGGCCCCGCCTTGTGCCGGGACCCCCGCGCCCGGCTCCGCTGCCGCACGATCGCGCCGGGGCCCGATCGCTCCTTTTCTTTTCTTTTGTTTTTTTTTTTTTTTTTTCCGGTTTTTTTTAAGCGCCAAAACCCGTCCCGCGAAATTCGGATTTCCCGCGGAAAACGCCGAGCGCTGATTGGCTGCCGTCTCCCAGGCCCCGCCCCTTCCCCGCCGCTGGCGGGAGGGGCCTTAAAGAGGCCGCGCGGCCGCGGGAGGGAGGGGACGGGGCGTGGTCCCCGCATGCAAATCAGGGGGTGGGGCCTCATTGAGATCACCTCCGAGGATGAGGCGGGGCGCCTGGGATGGGAGTGGGGGGTCATTGGTGTTGGGGGTCACAGCTAGGATTCATTCTTTGTCATTTATTTATTTATTTATTTATTTACTTACTTACTTACTTACTTACTTACTTACTTACTTACTTATTTATTAGAGGAGACCCCCCCTCAATCTGGTGGGTTCTAATCTGGGCGCCGCGACCCCCCCAGCCCTCATCACCCCCCCTTCCCCACTGTCTTTGCATCCCCATCACTCCCCCATCCTCATTCCCCCCCTTTCCCATCATCCCCATCCCCTCATTCCCATCTTCCCCCATCCCCATCCCCATCATCCCCCATGTCCCCATTGTCCCACCATTCCTGTCATCCCCTCTATTTCCCATCACCCCCCCCATCCTCAGCACCCCCTCCACGTCTCTCCACCCTCATCCCCCCATTTCCCATCACCCCCACCCACCCACATCCCCAGCTGCAGCACCCCGGGGTGGGGCAGAGGGGGCTGCATCTGTTTGGGAGGCTAAAAATGTTGGGGTCCTCCAGCCAGAGGCTGCCTGGGACCCCCCACCCCTCAGGCAGGGGTCGGTGCTGTTGGGGGGGGCAGGGACCTCAGAGGGGCTCAGCACGAGCACATTTGGCCCCTGGTTCACTCTCAGAAGTTCACCCAACCCACCACTCACTCAGTGTCACCTGCGTGTCCCACCCAGTATTTCCTTGGGGTGCACCAGGTCTTTCTGGAAAAGAGGAGGGACAAAGACAGGGTGAAGGGCCCTCACTTTGGCCTACGGGGTATTTCAGGGTGCAGCAGTGACAGAAGTCACTGGGACAGTGGCAAACCCCTGAGTGAGGGCAACCCTGAGACTTACTGGGACCAGTAAAAGGCCACTGAGACACCCCACAGTTTAATCCTGCTGAGGTCACTGAGCCACAGCAGTTGGTTCCTCTCCATCCTCTGGTTCCTCTCCACCACCTGGTTCCTCTCCATCACCTCTTTCCATCACCTGGTTGCCTCCATTCATTCCTCTCCCTCATTCTCCTCTCCAGCATGAGCCAATCCCATGTCCAGGTCTGGGATGGGGATGACCACGTGCAGAGATGGACTTCCTTGCCAAGAAGCCTCCTGGAAGACAAACAGACGGACACATACTCCGTGCACGGCCTCTGCTGTGGATGAGGACGGACACCAGACCTCCAGACTCCAATTCAGCTGGAAGGGACACCCAAAAACGTGCCAGGAACATCCAATCCGGGACAGGCATTTGCCTCCCACCGTGCAGGGGCTTTGAGGCACAACAAAAGGCCTGGCAGCAGTGATGCCACCTCGGCTGGGCACCGTGTCCCTCTGCCAGGAGCACGGCTGAGCTTGGCAGCTCAACCCACCCAGACCTTCATTTTCCCCCCTGCAGGAAGGAGGCAACTGCCATCTCCATCTCAGTGCACAAAGACAAGGCCATGCCCAGCAGGGTGGATAAATCCATGGGTTTGGCTGCCTTGGGCTGGCTCCAGTGGGTGACCCTTGGAACAGGGACACTGGGATACAGGGAGGGCCTGGGTTCAGGGGGCTCAGGCTGGCAGGTTGTGCCTCCAACTCCTCCAAAAGCAGAGGTGGTGTTCCCTCACACATCATCAGTGTGGCCTCTCTGGGGTAAGGGCCGTCCCAGAGGGTAGGATGGCCCTCACCCCCTCAACTGTGCTGAGGGAGGAGGAACCACAAGCATCCTTCCCTCACAGTACCTAATAAACCTCCTGTGAGCCTTCCAGCCATGGCTTTCCACCACCAAAGTCCTCTCCCAAGCCAGAAGCCACAGACTTGTATCTCCCTGTGACACCAGGGCGTCCAGAAGGGTGACAGCCACCAGCTTCCACCCTCCAGCCCAGAGGGGTTTGGGTTGGAAGGGACCCTAGAGAGCATTCCATTCCATGATGTTCCAGAAGTCTGGGGTGACCCTGAGGATGGCCTGAAGCATCCTGACCAGCCCCTTGACCAGCTCCTCACCCTGGGGCAAGGTGAGAGATCCATCATTGCACTGGCCATGGCAGGGGAAGGAGCCAGGAGATCTGTGTTGCCTCTCCTGAGGGTCTGGGGAGGGTCTGCACTGCACCCCCAAACCAAGGTGAAGAGGTGATGGTGAAGAACCTTTCCCAGCGCAGATGCAGCACGTGGGAATGGGGGCACCACATCTGGGCCACTGGATCTCTGCCCAGACCAAGACGGGGTCACCAGAGGCTTTGGGGTGCCACCTCCCCGCTCTTGCTCCCCTCAGGATCTGGAAAATCTTCTGGATATTCAGCTTAGGGATCAGGGACCCTAAGCAGAGGAGATCCCAGTTCTTCCCGAAGGGAACACCAGAGGAGGTGCCGGGCTCTTCCCCCTCTGCCCTGGAGACGGCAGCAGCGAGCCGCGGCTGCGGGGCCCGCATCGCCCCGGCCCCGGTACCGGCATCCCGGGGCCCGTGAGGAGATGCAGGGATGGATGGACACGGGATGGAGGGACACTGGAGCACAAAGAGAGAGGAGTGGAGCCTCGTCCTCGGTGGATTTTAGGGCGTGTGTGAAGCCCCCGATCCCCCCGTGACGGAGCCCCGATGTCACCCGTGGGAAAGGGAGGGCGAGGGCTGGCAGGAACACGCAGCGTGGCTGCCGGGACAGCGGATGGTCTCCAGAGGGGGTGGGGAGAGGGCAGGAATAGCCCCCCCCCGGAATTCCACGGCACTTTCGGGAGCTCCTGCCAAAGGGGTGCTGAGCCCCCCCCTCAGCTTGGTTTGCAGGATGAGCCCTCCTGGCCTGGCAGTTTGGAGCCACCGGGGTGGAGAGTGCCAGAGGAAATTTAGGGATCCGGAAGGGTGGGGGGGGAGGTGAGAACACCTTTCCCACACTGGAAACCCCGTGCCTCAGTTTCCCCACTCAGCGCTGGCGTGGGAACTGGAGCAGGGTGGGGTGTGGGCAGTGTCGAGGGTGTTGGGAACACCCTGTGCCAGGCAGGATGGGGTCACCCACTCACCCCCACCCACGGGGACAGGCCGGGATCCAGCCCCTGACACTGTCACTGAGGCCAGAGGAGCTGGAGGGGCTGTGGGATTCCCCCAAAAAAGGACGAGCTAGGAGCAGCCCCTGGGGCCCGGCGTGGGGGCTGAGGCACTGGGGGGGGTTCATGGTTGGATTTGGGATACTGTGCGTGTGGATGTGTGTCCATGTTGGCTGGATTAGCATGTGCCTGTGTGCACACGTGTGTGCACATGTGTGCCCCTGCTGAGGGGGTGCATGTGTGTGTCACAGCCCATGAGAGACAGATATAGACATATAGACATATAGATATATAGATATATGGGCATATAGATATATAGATACAGATATATAGATATATAGATATAGAGATATATAGATATATAGATATGTGTATGTGCACAGTGTGCGTGCAAATGTGCATCCATGTATAATTGTCTGTAGACACGTGTGTAGGTGTGTGTAAATACGGTCATGTGTGCATACATGCAGATGCGTGTGTGCACAGACACGTGTGTCGGCGTGTGTAGGCATGTGTGGAAATGCACATGGGTGTGTATAAGTACACGTGTGCATACATACACACGTGTGTGCACAGACGTGTCAGTGTAGACACGTGTGTAAATGCACATAGACACGTGTGTAAATGTGCATGCGTGTGGGAGTGTGCACAACGTGTGTCTGTGTCAGGAGGCACATAAGAGCACTCAGGGGTGTGTGTATTCATGCACACACGTGTGTGCACAGACATGTGTCTGTGTGTGCACAGACATGTGTGTCCCTGTCTGTGCACACGTGTAAGTGTGCACAGACGTGTGTCAGTGTCTGCAGGCATGTGTGTAAATGCACATATGTGTGTACATGCACATATACATGTGTGTAAACGTGCATGCACGAGTGTGCACGATGTGTCAGTAGGCTCATGTGTAAGTGTGCACTCAGGTGTGTGCACACACGTGTGAGTGTGCCCAGACACGCGTGTCAGTGTCTGTATCCACGTGTGTCAGCGCACATACGTGTGTGTAAACACACGCAGGCACCAGGGCATACCCGCACACGCGTGTGAGCGTGCCCAGACACGCGTGTCAGAAGCGCACACGCGTGTGAGCACATGTGCACACCCGTGCTCAGCCCCCGCGCCCCCCGCCCGGCCAAGGTCACGCGTGTGCCGCATCCGTGTGAGCGCGGCTGGCGGGGAGCCGGCCGGGGGGGCCGGGGGGGGGCCAGGCCTTGGCCGGGGCAGCCGCGGGAGGAGGAGGAGGAGGAGGAGGAGGAGGAGGAGGAGGAGGAGGAGGAGGAGGGAAGTGCGGCTCAGACAGCGCGGCGCCAGCAAACACCTGCAAACAGCTCCGGGCACACAATGGCAAATACAGGTGGGAACCGCCGCCTCCGTCAGCGCGGCGATTGCATCAGACT